TCCCCACGCTGTTACTGCTCCCCGCGGTTCTGTCTCTTCCTGCTGTTTTCTTCTTGCTTGAACCGGGTCAGCAGGGTGAGCGTCTGTGTGGCCCAGAGGTCTGGTGAGGGGGCGGGCCGCAGGGGGACACCTGAAATCTCTCCTGCTGCACTCTGCAGGGCTCAGCGGCTTCAGACACAGGAAGCTGTAATTAGGACTAGTGGAGACTTGACACTCTTCTCTGCAGCTCTCTCTCTATTGGCATAAACTCACGCCCATTAGGAGACCTAAAGTCATAATTACGTGTGGCTGAGAGGTTTTCTCTCCTCTGATGTTGGACAATTTTATTGCTTCATTTATTCATCTTTGTTGTTTCACACAATCTGTCAGTGAGCCAAACAGTTTGTACACCAGAGCTTTATCAAAGCTGTTTTGGGGAGGCATTATTACGACAGGCATTATTATGGTTTTTGTATAATAAAAAATGTGCTGGTTTTAAAGTAAACTTAAATGAATCCGTAGAAAAACATGTACAAGTTAGCATGCAGGACTTTGGCAGGATTGTGCAGACTCTTCAAGTATGTCTTCATTGCATCCCTTGCATTTCTAGAATGATGAACTTCATCTCTCCAGTAGGCTCATCAATTCTTTCATTTTAAGTTCAGATGTATGCCTTTATGTGCCTTTTGGACCCAATTTAAAGAGTAAAAATAAAAAATCATGAAATAAATGAATAATTTTAGCATTCTTTTAATAAAAAAATAGAATAAAGCAAATAGAAAAAAGATATTTTGTTGGCCTTGAAGGATTTGAGCTCTTATGTTGAAAAAATGTACACACCCTTGTCTAATACTATAAAAGCATGGCAGTACCCAGGATACAAATTACATAGAGGCTTCTGGGGGAGCCCAGTGAGACAGGGTGGGGGGCTGTATTCTTGCCTTGGTCCCTGAAATGCCTTGAAACGACCCTGGATGTGGGACTGAGTTTTGAAAGTGATTTGAATTGTATCAAATATATAAAAATTACATGCTTATAAATTATTGCTTTAGAAAGTTAAAAAGGTGTAGTGGGATTAATCTACCTACATTTTCCTTTTTAAACACTTAGTTTAGTTTTCTTGTTTTTTATTTGACAAATTTTCTGTCCAGTCTGCCTCTGACCTTCCTGCATCTACTCTCTGTCCTCCAGAAAAACTGCTGCCTGGCTTCCTATATGTTAACCTCATCAATTACTTTTGAACTAAGCAGATCAAAGCAAAAATAGCGAAGTGTGCACCGCGCTCTGGGTGCACCAATGAGGTGAAGTCACCGGAGCACAACACAAGTAATGCGTTTCGCTCCAATAGCAGCGAAGTGCATCAGTCACAAATAAGACAGAAAGCACCAAAGGATATGAGCTGGCATAAACAATTGTGCGTTAATTATATTTTTGGGGGTGGCAACACTGAGAATGTGGCCGTGTGTAGGACGCAGCTGCCTGGAGCCCATCAACAATCAGGGCTCTGCGTCCTCTTCACTCAAAAGAATCCCCGGAGAATTCACATAAATAATGTAATCTAGGTAGAACCAGAAACATTTTTTAGTCTCCCCCTGGGTGTGTATGTTGAGGGCTTCCAGGGGAGCCCGTCGTTCGAGTCAGCTGGGCTCCCCTTTTAATTTGAACCCTGGCAGTACCTGTAAATGGTAGACTACACCTAATGGCTGATTTATACTTCTCCGTCTGCATGGGTACAGAGACACGCAACGCCATTATGTATCGGCACAAGGGCTATCCGACAGCCTCACAGAGACTGACAGAGACCTTTCCAAATTTTTAACTATCCGTTGGAAGTGATGGAGACCGCGAGTGTTTCTCAATGTCAAAGAATCTCACCTTGATGCCTTGGTCCTGACCATCGACATAAATATATGGACAATGGGTTTCCATAGGCTCCAATAACACGTTTTTCTGCTAAAATGGGAGGTGGCCACCACCGCCATTTTGACCGTGTCACAGGTTCCGTCCAGCCCAGACAATTCCATAAAAGGGAAGAGAGGTGGTGCTGAGCGGGCTGACCGCTGGGTAAAACCGGGTGGAACACAGAGGTCTCCCGAAAGCTGCTGAAAGCCTGCCGCCCGCGCAGCAGACAGAAGCCGCGATCAGACAGAGATGCGCCAAGCTGCGGGGAGGGGATAAGGGTGGAAAACATCGGTCTCCCGAGAGTTCCACAAGCCGATAGTCGGAACCCAGCTCCACCAACATGTTATATTTCAACCCATTTTCTAAAGTGCAGCATTATGTTAAATGCACTGGGTTTTACCCCATTACATTTAAATTTCATGGTTAAACAGTACATGTTAAAATCTAAGCTCAGCTCGGCAGTGACCTAAAATACATAAATATAATTTTACTTACCGAAAAAAATGAAGTGGAGACTCCTTGGACGCTCTATTAGTGCAATTAATGCCACATCAAGTCATTTTGTCCAACAATTGCGCAAAAAAATATCCAAAACAGAATACACAAACACAGAGACTCAAAATCCCGGAGCAGTTTCCAAGCCAGACCGAGGCTCTACTGAGGCCTTTCCACGGAGCTAGCTCTGCGGTCACGTGGGTCGGATGCTGATTAATTATACAGAATTTTAGGCTTTTAATACACTTAAACAGAAGAGTGAGAAAAAAATTCACCCCCCTCAGAGTTGTCATGAGTGTAAACTAGATCATTTAAACCAAAAACATGTTTTGGTACCAGGCTGTAAACATGTTTATTTCTGCTGTGAAATTGGTATTTTTAACATGGGAGTCAATGAGGATTTGCTCGTTTCTGACACCAGCCCCCAGCGGATGAGGATGGAACTGCAATTTATTTCACTTCCGGGTTTGACTCAATTTCAGAGCTGCATTGTGGGGGGCCTGGTCCTGACCCAGTTGCCTAGGAACCGCCAAGGCATGTTCCAATGTTCATGTTTTACAGAGGCGTCTGTCTGTTTGTTAGCTGTTTAGCTAGCTGACCAAGGATACACAGTAGGTGTGTTGTTGCCTTCTCTTGGTCAAAAATTTCCCATAATACAGCGCGGTATTTTCAAAAGGATGGCAGATCAGGAGCCAGCAGCTACTTCGGGGGAAATTTCCAGTTTTAATTGTAGCTAGCGGGCTGATATGAATGTTTTTTAGATCCAAAGCAGTTGTCTGTTTGGTTAGTTGCTTAGTAGTTGCAGCTTTGTTGGCTAGCAGGTGCTAACTCGCTTACACATTTAATCTAACCAATATATACACAATTTAAAAAGTAAAAGGCTAATTTTACATCTATATTAAAACGCATGCGTTTAAAATATAACTTTACCTCATGCGTCATGTGAGCTACATCTGTTTAACGGTTTCTTTGACCACGGAAGGACAATGTCTTCGTAAGCAAGGCGCCTGGCCTACCAAGGCACTGCCTTGAAATGGAGAAACACCCCACAAGTTTTGTGATTGGTCAGGATGCTGCTACCTTTAAAGAGCAAGTCACCCCCAAATCAACTTTTTTTGCTGATAAATTCTATAAATGAGTGTCTAATCGTGCTGTAGACATGTGTAGTCAATAATTTGGCACTTTAGGGCATCTTAGTTCAAATTAATATATTCTGCCAAAAACTGAGTGTTGCACCGTCATTAGGTAAAAACTCTACACTACATTTGAATTTAAATCTAACATCGCTATTGGCTAATAGGTACACTATGATGTTAGCTGCTACATTATGATGTCACAATGTTGTTGTAAGCCTGTGTGTGTGTTTGCGTGTGTATTTGTTAGCAGCTCCGCCCTCTCGGTCCGCCAGACAACAGGATTTGTTGCATTTTTCAAACAGGAAGTGGGAGTGGAGTAAGACTCTGGTAGTAGGTGACTAGCTCTTTAACTTTGTCGACAGAACCACCATTGCACCTTCAAAAAACTAAAGGGAGCCAAAGATATTTAGCAGCAGACATGGAACAGATTGAAGAAAGTCTTACACTACAAGTCCAAAGTTACTTATGTTTATTCACCCGTTAAAGGAGTGCGAACATACGCACAAGCGTTTTATTCGTGGACGAAAATGACGGAAAACGTGGGTTTAGAGGTCTTGACCACGTGAAGAGGTGGAGGAGAATGAAGGACAAATATATCAGTGTTAACAAGAATCTGATAGTATACATGACTGTGGTGGCAGAATACCCCCAAATAGCGCTACGCCCTCTTCTGTTGTGGCAGGGAATTGTTTTGCAACACTCCCCAGCTGATAGAGAAGTCTGAAAGGGAAACTTCTCCATCAGTGCATGTGCGCGACTCCACTCTTGAGCCGACGAAAAAGTATAAATCAGCCGTAAGCCTTGGTGTTCAGTCCTTTTCAATTCTTTAGGATAATATGTCTGAGCCTGTTCTACTACTTTAATGAGAACCAGAGGTGCGACTTGGCCTATTATTGTGTAAACGGGTACCATGTTTCTGATACTTTAGAACGGAGGGAATGCCACAGGTTTATGTGCCATGTTTACTCAAATCTTTAGATTATCAAACTAATATTCAAGTTCCAATACCAATGTTACACTGCATTTGAGCAACTGAGTAGCGCTGTACTGTAGTTGTTGGTATTTGGCTGAAGGTGAGGAAGTGTTACCTTCAACCCCCTGACAGAAGTAGAATTTAAAGCTTGCTTTCAAATGATGGGATACAATTAAGCTTAACTGTTAACAAGGATTAAAGGTCATCTTCCTGTCTGTGCAACATCTAAATTTCATTTAATCTCATTTGATGAAGCGTTTCCTACTTGACTAGAACTGTCCTTTGGTTCTCAAGTTTTGATCATCGAAGCTGCAAAGAGGTCATTTATGTAAAATACAAGAAAAATGAAGGCATCTTGTCTCTGACACACACACACACACACACACACACACACACACACACACACACACACACACACACACACACACACACACACACACACACACACACACACACGCCCTCATGCCTGCATGTGTTCTCCTGGCTCCACTAACTGTTTCCACTCCTCCTTTCAGGGTCATGTTTATATCCAGGTGGACAGATGGATAAGAAAAATTAAAGCTTTACTTCAGGTAAAACTTTAAAGCTTTTGCTTTTTGGTTGTTTTTTAAAACTTCCTTGAGGGAGTAACTGAGTTTTGTTCTACAGGCCCTCCAGCTGACCTCTGGGCCCAGTCCTGGCTGCAGGGTTGCTGTGGTTGGTGGGCCAGCCCAGTCTATGTGAATGAGAGGTAATGATGTCTAAAATGAAGCAATGTTGGAAGAAGGTTCTGGTGGCCATGCTGGTCTGGGTACTGGTATTTCTCGCCCTATTATCCTACTTCCTGGATACTCATGCAGACGAAACTCTGACGTCAGCCGGCTCGGTGCTCTCTCAGCACCCAGACACACGCCGGCTGACCTCCCTACAAGCCTCCCATCATCAGCATGCCATCCCGGACTCCAGACCAGATAGATCTCTGAACTTTGGCCCAACATATCACAGAATAAAACCAGAACTGGGACCTTCTGCAACCCCAGAACCCATTGTGGAGGTGAACCGGAGCCCAGACAATGATCCGTACCTTACTTATAGCAGCCAGGAAGCAAACCGCCAGGACTATCTTGACCCACAGAGCCTAGCTGCCTGGTCCTCCTTTGGCACAGAGAATGTGGACTCCTATTCAGATCCTGCCTTCCGGAGTCGTGAGAGAACCACTCAGATCAAAGACCATTTGAACCGTGTTGATGCCACTTATCACCAAGATGGTGAAGAGGAGGAGAATGATGACGAGATGGAAAACATACAGACAGCTAAAGCAGACAGGAGCAAAATTAGAGCTGCTAAGCTAGACGAATATTATTCCTACAAGTCTGAGTCTCTGATGCAGGGGCTGTGGAAGGGCCGCGTGTCCTTCAGCATGCTGAGCCCCCGTCTGCAGCGGGCCTTCAAGGCCTACATGAACACGAACAAGCATGATGTCATTTATGAAGGACATCGCACAACCTCACTGACAGCCAAGCAGCTGCTCTGTCAGATGAAGGCCCAGGCCAAACTGAGAACAGTAGACGGGATGGAGGAGCCGTTCCGCTCTTTGGGATGGATGGATATTGTGCCGTCACTTCCTCTGGAGCAGCTCGGCAAAGGACTGAAGAACAACTTCAAGAGCTGCGCAGTGGTCACGTCTGCTGGTGCCATCCTGCGCTCGCGACTGGGGAAAGAAATCGGTAAGTGATAACTTGTTCATGCTTTTATTTTGTTGGTCCTTTTATAAATGAAGTTTTTCCTCTTGTTGTGAGCTGCATCATCTAATTCTGCAGTGGTTAAATGTTGCCAAATGGCATTACGCTCCAACTATGGAGTTTATAGTCATCAGGCTTCATTTGGATTTAGGTTTTTGACAATCCTTCAAATCTCTTTACTTCTCATCTCTGTACTGTACCTTAATGTGGGTACTTATTTGTTGTACTTAATGTGAAGCAAGAAACATCAATGTAGTCGATTTGAGTAAAACAAGATGCTTTCACCTGTCAAGGACACCAGGGAGCATCTGAAATGGATTAATGTTACTAAGATAAATAAGAAAAAAACAAATTCGCGCAAGTTATCAAGCAAATCTGTGGATTAGGTTTTAAATCCTTGTTGATGCAGCTGCAGCATCTCTGCTAGTCTTGAGCGATGCCCATTTTTTTATAATTTGAATGTAAAATGGGAAATTTTGCAGATTAATTTTGTTACATATTCAAACATCAATGGAAATGCAGTAAACACGGAAAATCGTTTGATTCCAACGAGCTGTAATAGTTGAATTCTTTTGTTTTCTTTTGCACATCCTGAGTTTCCGAGGTGTTCTTCAGGCATTTGGAAGGTTGTTGAGTTCATTGTAATTCATCTTTGACTTGTTTTACTGGCAACATCATTCCACACTGCTTACATAATATTGGAATCATGATTTAAGGGAAACCAGCATGTCTTAAGTTTGGTTATTGTGTATCAGCAAGGTCCACCTTATACGCAGCTTTCTATAAACCAGCTCTTCCTGTTTATCAGAGAGCGACCCTTCTTCTGTCTCAACACAACTTAGCTACAAAGTTGTCCTCTACTCATCTAGTTTTGTGATCTTTTTAACGAAAAGAAAAAACTATCAAAAGTTTAGCCTCTTTGTTCCTTTTTGAATTTATCCTGTTGGTGTAAAAATACTATTCGATGTTGAAATACTGTAGATTCAACACAAAGATAGGAACTTTCTGTATGTTTAAACACAACCGTAGCTGGTTGGGTGGCTTATTTATGCCGAATTGGGCGCTAGACAGTGTAACAGTATTGCCACTATAATGGGCTCACTCTCCAAACTCAAATGGAGTCAACGCAGAGTGGGCGACAATGCCCATTGTTTTGTGCAGCCTATGGTTGCAACAACCGACGCACTATTGAAAACCGATCACGTGGGATTACTAAAAACTTTTCCAGCCTACCTGTTAGGATCTTATATTTGATTTAATTAGTTAAATTATGTTTTAATTATTACTATATGTCTGACTTTCTGAAAAATAAAATGTTTTAAGTTGGGTAAGCACCCTCCTCAGTTGAAACGAGTGCACTAGATGCAAATAGGGACCCATCCAAGATGGCGGCCCACTCCTAAGCCAGCTCCAATAGACAGCTGCAGTACACAGGGAGTCTACTTATATGATGTCTGTGGATCCAACACCTTCTAGCATGGTAGTTAGCTATTTTCTGCACTAGGGTTGCTATCGGCTAGCACCCAGAGACAAAAAATGCTGTGATGCTAATTGGCCAGCTGTGCTTTCCCCAGTGCCCCAGGAGTGATAGTGTGTGTGTGTGTGTGTGTGTGTGTGTGTGTGTGTGTGTGTGTGTGTGTGTGTGTGTGTGTGTGTGTGTGTGTGTGTGTGTGTGTGTGTGTGTGTGTGTGTGTGTGTGTGTGTGTGTGTGTGTTACTCTTCTCCCTTCATGAAAGGGAGGGTGGCGCCTCAGTGCCACCACTGTTGTGAGGCCTTTTTCAGTCACGTTTCCTTTCCTTAAGGGATCCACAAACCTGCGTATGTCTTGATTGACGTTTGTTCTGCTCGTGTTTTCTGTTGCTTTCACAGATGAACTCATCAAACCGACTGTGTGTTTGCTTGAGTGCGTGCCTAATAGGTTGCATGTCTTTTTTTGCATGCGTGCGTTTTTGGGTAGTAGACTTTTGGCGGCTCTCCGGTGAGCGGGGAGAGTGTGAACTCAACGACAGATGGCTCACTAGGAAAAGCAGAACCCCCTCTGGTATCCAATCAGGCTTCTTCACATCACACATAGCTCGCTTCCTTTGCATTCATATCAGAGTTTATCTGTTTGGAGGGAACGCTGAAATAAACATGACAATTTGAGCTTTATAACGTCATTTCTGTAAGGTTTGAGCTTAATGTAAAGGGCTATTGCTTTATATAAGGTTGTCCTTGAGAATAGGAGAGACTGAAATGGTTTCTATGAAAATCAGATGCAGGTAATGGGAAGCTGCATTTGCACTTGACACTGTGGTCACAGTGGAATTAACTTGTTGTGCTGTGTCAGTGGAAACATCAGTCTTCCTGCTTTAGACGGTCAACACTCTCCACACTCCTTTATGTGAAGTAGCTTGAAGGCACTAACAGGTTCTCTGCAAATCCCCTGAAATGCTGACTAAATGTGGATTTGAGAGCACCTGAAAGTCTGTAAAAGCACATTTACTGTCACTTATTTATTTAAAGCTTTTTTAGCTTTCTGCTCTGTGATGTGACAGATTCACATCCACAAGCAAAGGAAGTCGATCTCTCCCTGCTGTCACAGATCAGTTAAAGATATTTGTCAGATTCCATGAAGACATTTTAAAGAAGGAAGATCAGTGAGTAAATATTGATGATTCTCCTCAGCGAGAGCTGTCACATGGATGTTAATAACGTATAACAGCAGGTATTGGTTCAGAGTTTCGTCATCCTTGGGTTCGATTCTCTAAAAGGAGAAACAAAGACGACTCCAGATGCATCCTGAAGAATAGGGCAGCTGCTTTAGAGACAGCGTCAGGTTTAGCTTTGACAACTGCTTTGATGTTCTCTTTGCTTCTGTCTATAGTAAAAACGAGACGCTGCATCACCTGCATGATTATTGAGATTTATTCTGATTCAGGATGAGAATCTGCTCTATTTTCTGTGCCACATGCAGATAATTTGGCATTTAGATTTAGGCGTTTTCACTGGCTGAGGGCCAGATGTGTAGGCCAGATGTGTGGGCTTCATCACTCAGGACTGGGTTTTGTGTGACGTCTGGATGTGTGACGGTGTGTGTCTGCCACCACCTGGTCAACAGAGAAAATGCCATCAGTTCAGCTCTAGAAGGCAGATCCACATTTTTGCTGCAAACAAGCAAATGTTCTTTAGTGGAATTTCTGATTTTCTTTTGACAGAAACATTTGGGAGTCTTATTCTGTTTATTTAAAAGCTGGAATTTGCTTCAGTCTTACATGGTAAACAGGATAAAGGTCCGTATTAATGTTCAGAGTTACTTTGGAACTGTCGCCCTCTTGTGGTGTATTTATATTTGACAGAACTTTTTATTTTTTTACTATTTAATTTTTATTTCTTTAGGAATAATCCCTTTGAGATCCGGATTCCCTTCTGGCAGAGAGAGCATCATAGTTGCACATAAAAAAACACAAGTTAAAGAGCAATAATTGGATTTGTGCATTCAGCATTCAAATAATCCTTAATCCCACTTTTAAAATCATCCATAATCGTGAGATAATCCAGTATAAGATGTCTCTGACTCTTAAGCCATGGGCGCAAATACTTTAAAAGGCACTATCACCATTACAGCTCCTTGTGAAGTTTTTTCATCAGGCAGTTAACCCCAGGTATTTGAACACTTTTATGATTTAATGTAATAATCATTTTTCTTTGATTCATAATTTCTTGATAAAGACAATTGCAGATGTTTTATAGCACTCTTTATAAAATGGCATCATCTGCACAATAATGAATGATTTATATGAATGTTGAAATAAAGTTGGACCCAATGTGGATCCCTGGGGGACGCCTTTATAAGTATTGGAGGTGCTAAAGAACCTTTGTTCTTGTCTGATGTGCTGTTAGAATAAATTAAACCATCAACTTCAGATTTCTCATTTTAACATTACAACATTGATCTTTTTTTTGTGTGTCTTTGTGACATCATATATCAATCTTCAACTTTATAGTGATGGGAAAAAGGTCTGACATTTCACCTCCAGTTTTTTGCCTGGATGAAGATGAAAAATCGTTGTGAATGTGTGTGATTCTGGTCTAGTTCTGTTGGAGAAAAACCTCGTTAATGATGCTTTATTGACTGAGAAGAGCAGCTCCTCCAGTTTTTGATGAAGCAGCATCACATCTGAGCTGAAGGATCATCCACTTAAATGTCAGATCGACACTAGAGCAAGACGACGTGAGTTGATGGATCGATCAGCAAACAAGCTGAGATGTGTTTGGAAATGTCAGACTTTTCTTTTTGTTGAACTGTGGAAAAAAATTATCAAAAAAAAACCTACTTAAAAAAATTATTTTATTTACTAATCAGTTATGTAACTTCACCACCGGAGAGCACTTCATTCCTGCTGTTGGCTGTTTCATCGCTGCAGCCACACATTTCCATACCGACCTTGACAAAAACGCTGCATCATGTTCAAGTGTTTGTCAGAGATTTGATGTTTGAACTGAAGCTCAGTGGCCTTATTTTTGCTTCCTAACTGTTCATGTTTGTATAGTAATAATAATAATAATAATAACAATAATAATAATGCGTCTACCTGAAACTCGGCTCAATTCATGCTTCATCTTTCAGACTCGCATGATGCAGTTTTACGGTTCAACGCTGCGCCTACAGAGGGTTACGAGCGAGATGTGGGGAACAAAACTACAATAAGAATAATAAATTCACAGGTAAGAGAGAGTCTGGCCTTGGACGCCTCAGCATAATCATAACATGCTACAGATGTATGAATCCATGTTTTATGTTCCAGATCAACGTTCAGGAAAAACAAGTTTATATTGTTGGAAATGAGATGATGGCGTCGTGCTTTGTGTTCATAGTTACCAAATGAATGTCTCATCTTATTTTCTCTCCGCAGATTTTGACAAACCCCAGTCATCAGTTCAACACCAGCTCCATGTTTAAGGATGTCGCCCTGGTGGCGTGGGATCCTGCGCCTTACGCCATCGACCTATACAAGGTGAGCCACTCGGGTGGAGGAGACACGATGGCTGCACCATCCTGACGGGTGGAAAACACTGGAAAGCCTTATGAGTATTTGTATGTGAATGTTCGTGCTCTCTCATGTTGCCATGGCAACAGTTGTGGTCATTTCTAACAGAGCTCAGAAGACTCCTGCTCTACCCCTCATCTTTTTCATGCATCCTTTGAATTTTTTTGTTGCAATCAAAGATCCTGCTGCTTTCTGATTTGTAATTAAAATATATTTGCATTTTTGCTGAAGCCGTGGGAAGCCCGCTCCCTGCCTGCTTTTAATTTAGTTGCCTGTTTTACGATGGAACATTAAAAATGCCCCCAGATATTAGTCACTTACTTTGTTCCATCTAATTTTGAGAAATAACTTTTATTCTTTACAGCATCAATCAGTCCAGTGCTGCTAGAGGAACCTTTCAGTTGTAAAACACAGAAACTTTAGAAGCATTTAGAGAAGGGTTAGCGTCAGGCTAATCAGAGGGAATTTAGGCACTTGATTTGTTGAAGGTTTATCTAAATCACAACTTTTCATAAGCGCCAGCCCTGTTTTCTGTGATTTTATCAAGTAATTCCACTTAAATGAAATAATTCAGATCATTTAAAGAAAGCATATCTGGGAGGGCAACCAACAATATCTTGACCTAGGTCTGTGTTACAGCAGCTGCTAATTTGCAAAGGTAGCAAAGGCACAGGAGTATTAACAAATGCTGCGTTCCATTCTTGCACCTGTACATGCTGCCAACAAGCACAACATTTGTATGGTTAAAAGAAACATGGTTGTCCCAGAAGCTGGAAGCGTTGCCATGGTGATGTTCCGTCCGCAGATCTCAGATGGCTTGGGCTGTTGGCTTCGTAAGTAATGTTGCGTACATGGTCGTCTGTGAAGCCGGGAACAGGTTCACAGCAAGGAGGTGCAGCGGGTCGTTTCACTGTATTCAAACGAGGATAACTGTCGTTAGCGCCAGAGCTTAATTTGTGCCTGTCTTATTTTGAAAGTACATGTCCGGTAACTGTCTGCTAGGATCCGGCATCTCAGTTTTTAAGCTAACTTTTTTAATGTAAATGTTGGGAATTGGGCAAGTGCTCTCCAGTGGTAAAGTTACATAACTGTCTACTCTACACAGAGGATAAGTCTGGATACTCAGAGGCAGAGAGCACCATGAGGGGCGGGACTAGCCAGCTAAAAAATAACCAATCAGGAAAAAGGCGGAAATGACAACTGTATCGCGCAACGCTGTAGTTTGTTAGTTTTAGTCAAAGATGGGGGTGGTATAACCCCACAAAGGTGCTATACAAAAACAGGCCATTTAATTATGTGGTTATTTGTAGAAGTTAGCTATAACCTAGCAACACTAAATCAACAGTATTTGAACGCTCCAACAAATCAGTGGATTAAGGTGTTCCATCAAAGTTCCATCTGCAGAGACCCGATCTTGAGCTCAGACCAGAGATGTGTGATCCAGACCATCTAGTCCAACATCACCTCACAAATGTTCTTCTGGGAGAATACAAACACTCCTAAACCTTGTTTACAGCCTTCTCAGAAGAATTAAAGCTGTTATAAATGCAACGATGGGCCAGTTTCACCTTAATCCCTGTAGATTAAAGGAACATGATGTCATGAGTTCATATGCAAACTTCCCAATACGTTTGACACAATACAAATAATCACTGATCTGTAGCGGTTCCAGCTCTGCATTTTACTTCATTTTTGCGTAAACAAGCATGTAAGAGACTCTGACAGCTGGCTGGATGCTGAATATAAACTCTAACTGGCTGTTTTTAAGACCACTGAGATCCACATAACTGTGGCTAATGGTTAGCTCATCTGCCAAACAACCATCTACGACCGGTCAGAGATAAATTCTTCATTAGCCTGTTGTTCTGTTGACTAAGATGAAAAAGATTGATCTTCTGCTCTGATGTGATCAGAGACTAAATTAAGATTCAGAAAGCAGTTTGTTTTTTGTTTCTGATTCCAGTGAGAGTGTGAACGGTGCATTAGGACAGGTGATGGATCTGAAGCACCAGCTTATCTGAAAAGATGAAAGAAAGGGTGCAGCAACTGCCTCACCAATTTAAACAGTTATAATTTTTATTTACATGATGTTGATGATGATTTCAAATGAAATTTTGTTTACCCTCCAGCCCACTAGTATTACTGAAAATATCACACATTTTGTGCTGTGGTTAAGGCTAGCTTCGTCCAGCTGAGGTTCCTTAGTAAGATAAACGCTTATGTCCCACCTGATCTTATGGTGACTTGTATCCATGATCTGATTTCCTCTCGTTTGGATTATTTCAATGCGCCGCTGTACATCAGATTACCACAGTATGCTGTAAAGCATTTACAGTGTGCAGAATGCAGCTTTTTTGATGGAGACAAGGAAAACTGCCCATTTTACTCCTGTGCTGGATGATCTTCACTGGCTTCTTTATCGATATATATTGTTAGTGGTTTTTAAATGTCTCCATGGGCCAGCTCCCTCATACCTGAGTGAACTTATTGAATCTTATGCTCCATCCAGATTGTTGAGATCAGCTGATCAGTCTAAGGGTGGTAGATCTTTTTCTGTGGTGGCTCCTGTGCTGTGCATTATTAGGCGTTATAGAAATAAAATTTGACTTATTGTTTTATTGACTGATGAGTTTTTGTTCTCCTCAGTGGTATGCCAATCCAGACTACAACCTGTTCGTTCCATATGTGGATCATCGATTGAGCCACCCGGACCAGCTCTCCTACATCCTTCACCCCAGCTATGTGTGGAAACTCTGGGATTTGATCCAGAGCAACACTCAGGAGAACATCCAGCCTAATCCTCCCTCATCTGGATTTATTGGTGAGTTTACACTCTGAGAGCCTAACTCCTCTCCTACAGTTTCCTCCATCCATTCATCGACTCGCTGCCTTATCAGACCTGCACACAGCTCAAATAAATAATGACTTCATTATGAATGTTGTTTTGGTTCAGACCTGTTTTCAGACTTCAGAGTCTTCCAGCCTGCAGCTAATGTTTGCTTTGGTCTCTGGTGCATCTTGCAGGAAATGGCAGAAGTGAGACACATCATCAGAAACACATGAGTGTGTTTATGCTTCAGACGTGATTTCTTATTTTTGACCATGTCTTTAGTTTCCTAATTCAGCCAAACACAAACATATTGACAGATTTCCAATCTGCAGCTAGTTTCACTCATGACGTAGACTTTAAAAAAAGCCTTTATTCCTTTTCAAACTCAGCCAAGTTGAAAATACTGTGAGGCGAATTCATAAAAGTAATCATGTCCAGCTTTCAGTACCTGTTTGCACACATAAGATGGTTTTATTAAAAGGTAAAAAAAAAAAAAAAGATCAATTCAAGATCAGCCAATAACGTTGTCTCTTGAGACGGGGCTTAATGTAGCTGATCTCAACAAGGGTCACCATTGAAAACACCTCCGTCACAAGAGGCGGGGTTGTTATTTTAGTGTTTGGATTCAGGAAGTTGCAGTTTATTGTAATGCATGTTGGACATTTTCTTGGTAAGCTAATAAACTACCACCATATGCAGATGTGAGCATAACCCAAACATGGCTGTTTACATAATAATCATCTGCAGCTGATTTTCTTTGTAAAGAGACATTTCATTTAGGATTTTCTAATTTCTATGCTTTTAAGAACTAAAGAAAATGTAATCCTTTTCAGTCTCCACATCTGCAGTTGAAAGCACATCTTATGGCCAGAAGGGGGCGGCATGGTGCATGTTATTTAAAAATGTCTTTTACTCAAAGGAGGTTTTAATAATTAAAAAATATCTATTTAAATAAGTTAAATCAAAAGTGCAGGGACAGTTTAATGTTGAGGAAAGGGGTGTTGGGGGGGGGGGGGGGGGGGGCACGGGAGCATGAATAAATGAACGAGTAAAGCTGTGCTTATAAATGTGTTTGATGCAAAAAGATTCCTGCTCTAAACCAACACAGAGCTTTAGGTAATTTATTTATCATTTAAATCAAACTATTGCAGAATATATAGGAGCTGATAGCGCCGCATGCCCGGGTGCTTTCTGGGACTTGTAGGTCAAGTGGTATTTCAGCTGTACATCCACAGGCTGGTTAGAATATTATGATCCTGTTGGAGAGATTAAATAATTTAATGAACCACATTTGGCCAACAAACCTGGTGTTTTACAAATATTTAGAACTTCAGACTTCAGTGTTTTTATTGGCAGCATGAATCCTTTCTCGTGTTGCAAGTAGAATTTTTTTATTATGAGACAAATCCTCACGATGAACATGTACACAACTTGCATCCAGAGAAAACAGACTGGGTAACCGGACCAAGTAAATAGTTTAGGAGGAAAGATCAACAAATGACAAACAAGTGGAATTCATGCAGACCGTTTTAAATACAAGATGAAGGTTGGTGATTAGCGTTTACAACACTACAAAGCTAGAGTGAAGACGGGAAAAGGGACTTCCACTAAACTATGCATCAAAGCACAAATGTGGGATTGTTTCAAAATGATGGTCTTTCTATGTGAAAGCAACAGTGTTTACATGGGCTGAATCCTTGAACTTGCAGGTGCAGTTTTTCCAAGTAAAAACAAAACTTTGGTTTAAAATAAATAAATAAATAAAAAGCAACCAGATGTGCAACGTTTCTCTGCAACACTGAGAACAAAAATATTCCAGTCCAGCATAAAATTAACCACTTTTTGATTATATTTGTATATTTAACAAACTAAAAGACCAGAAACATGAACAGTGGCTGGAAACTTGCATCCACGTTTTATACTTTTGCATTAGTTTCACACAATGTTGCAAAAAACATTTAGAGGAGTCAAGTTCTGTCTGGTGAAAAGTTTGTGAGGACGAAACGAACACGCAACAACTTTAAGGTTTGTGCATAAATCCGTGGAATATGTTTCAGATTGACTGAGCCGGATGTCGTCGTTGTCCATCACCAGCGGAACAAAGCCAAGCAGCCAGAATCCAAAAACGTTTGGAAAGTCTTTCTGGAATAATAAAGTCATCCGGACTGCAAATGGTCCAGGAATGGTGGTGGTGGTGGTGGGGGGGGGTCCAGGTGTTGGCTTGTTGAGGAGGTGGGGGGGGAGCACATGTTAGTTGAGGTCATCAGTGGAGATCTGAGCCACCGTGTTGCTGTAGACTCTGCGGTTCAGAGGGATGACGGTCGTCTTGGAGGGCATGGAAATGTTGCCGTTCTCCGTCGACCAATGGGAACAGTGGAACAGAATCAGGAAACACCTGTAGAACTGGGAGGAACACGGACAGAGAACGTGATTAATGAACCTTTTCACTTTAAGGTAGTTAGGTTTTTTTTGTGTGTGTGTTTTCTGACCATCTTGTCTGGATTTACTTTTGAGACCGTTAAAACCTTTTTAGGGAATCAAACCACGTCCCCAGACTAAAGCGAGGAATCAGTTGGGTTACTTTCTTGCAGTAGCAACAGCGGTAGGGAAGCAGTGGAGATGGAGGAGAGTGGTAAACAGAATAACAACCACCAGGGAGAAAATGATAAACCGAAATCAGCAGGAGAGTGACAAGCAGCGAGGGAACACTGCACGACAGCTGCTCTTAGGAAGGAGCTCATGAAGGGAACACCAAGGCCCTTTTAAAAAAATCACCTTCAAGGACCCTTTCAGTCATCTCATGGAACGTGTTTTAACTCTGCACGTGTGATGCTTTTCACTGAAAGCTGAAGTTTAGCTTTCTATTATTTTTACACCTGAGAAGTGAGAAGTTTGGTTCAGATTTAAACTTTATTTATTTAAGCCAAAAACGAACCACTTCACATCTCCAGCTCTGGAAAGTGGCATAAAGTTATTTTTGTAAATATTTTTTCTTGCATTTTTTGCATAGAAACTCCGAAAGTTGGATGTGGATTTACACAAAAACTCACACTAATAGTATTCATTCAGCCTACTCTTGTTTTTTAGTAGGGCTGCAACAACGAATCGATACAATTCGATGAAGAAATGCGTTCGCAACGCTTTTCGCCATTGATTAGTTCAACTTGTTTTCATGTGCATCCTTTATGCAACAGCCAATGAGACTTCACAGAGTCTGATGCGGCTGCAGAGCAGACCGAGGCAGATCAGAACGAGAGACACAAATATGTTGCCCGTATAATTATTGTGTAATGAAGATGCTTTTCACTGGCGCACAATGTGCTAATCTAGGTGCTGTGGAGGAAAACGGAGAAACCAGCAAAGACACAGGGGCAGAAACAGTCCAAAGTTTGGTATCAAAAGTGTAACTACAAGCAGATTAGCTAATGCTAGAGGGTAGCTGGGTTCCGAAAAAGCAAGATAGTTGTGAAACTAAGAACATCTCAACTCTACAAGCGGAAGAGAAGTCCCCATCATCCTGTTCATTAGCTGTCTGCAGCGCTGCAGAGCAGAACCGGCGCCGCTGCAGTCAGGTTGCTGCTTCGAGTCTGCTTTGTCCAACGCTGCTGAAGGTGTACGGCAAGCCACTGTAGCATTTAACTCACAAACAAGTCTATCTGTGAACGTAATTTAAACTAGATTATTATTAACCCGTACATAATAGATATGTCACTATTACATTTTAAGCAGTAGAAATTAAATGTTAGCATTTCCAGTAGCTACTACTGAACATGTTGATGAAATGCATAAAATTTGACTGATCATAGTTTAATTGTGGATATATTGGGGTATTTTTAGGTGATAGCATGTTGTTTAGCACGCTATTGAACAGTTTTCTAGTTACAGTAAAGTAGTTTCCCTAGCAATGCTTAAATGTTCCCGTTTAATCTGATTAACCGAGTCGAGACCCCATCCGATTCATCAATGATCCAAAGAGTTGTTTGTTACAGCCTTACCTTCTAGATAAACTAAAATAACCTCCATACATGTGTTAAATGCAGCTGGTAGAGGCTGGTCTCACTTATTTTTACCTGACTTCTGCGTTAGTCTCGTTGGTTCAACAAACCTTCTCTTGAGACGTGCGCAGTCATGAGTTTGTTCTGTGTGACTCAAACCATTCAACTTGGTTTTAGAACAGTTTCTCTCCTCTTTGAGGACAGCATGGACAAATAGCGGTAGCTGTTAAAAAAACAGATTTTTTTAAAGGAGTTGTGGGGAAAGCATTTTATATTGTAGCTATTAGAGAAAGCTATTTGAACAGCTTAGTTTTAGATCAGTACTGCTTCATTTGGATTGGATTGATACGCTATTGCTAGTCACACCAAAGTAGAATGCTTTAAAACCCTGTTTCACCTTTGTGACTACTAACGGTATTTGTTTCTAATTAATTCCACAGGAATCCTCCTGATGATGGCGCTGTGCGAGGAGGTTCATGTGTACGAGTACATCCCCTCCTTGAGGCAGACAGATTTGTGCCACTACCACGAGAACTATTACGACGCCGCTTGCACGCTAGGAGCCTACCACCCCCTCCTCTACGAAAAGAGTCTGATCCAGCGGGTCAACTCTGGCCCCGAGAGCGACCTCAGGATGAAGGGCTGCGCTACTCTTCCAGGCTTTAGCACCATCGACTGTGACGTCTGAAATATGAAACCTGACCCCCCCGCCCGCCCTACCCTGAGCCTAAATAAACTAACATACACTAGCCTTTTCTGGCTGCTCTAGGGAGAGTTGCAATAAAGCCGCAGTAGATGAAGGCTGAAATTTGAAATCAGACCCATGAAGAGCAAAAGCCATAGCCATCTGGGGAGGGATCAATGTGGAGATGGTCTAAAGACCTCCTCTTCATCAAGTTGGGTGACCTTACCAGAGACTGGAGCTGGTAAAAAAAAAATCTCTGCTTTAGCTGAGCCATGTCAGCTTGGAAGCTGATTAGGGGTAGCACCAGGTGTGTGTTTTAGTTAGAAGAGTGAGTTTTCAAAAACGTGGTGTCAAGTAAATATCTGTGTCTTACAGTTCCAGGTACTCCACTGAGAGGAAATACCACTGTTTTTTTTTTACTATTTGATAGTCCTGAGTGGTGTAAACAAACCATCCACTCTGAATGTCACATTCACACACATCAGGTGGATCTACTGTACATATGCTCGTTGATTCCCCACTACTGATATTATTAGTATTTAATTCCTGTCTGAGCACGGTGAGCAAAGAGAGCAGAGTTCACATTTCAGTTCCTTTTGAGTGCAATTATGTAAGCATGAAAGTAAATGGGGCCAAAACCTAACCAGGTGCTCAGATCAGCCATAACCCCGTGCCTGGCGGTCAGCTGAACACGTTCCTCTGGTTGCCTTGTGAACGTTCACACACATGCAGTTGGTACTGTGGCAGGACTGCAGTACCAGTCCCTCTGATGGCGACGAGACTCGTTGAGCTGTCGTGTTTTACTAGCATTTTTCATCTCCGCCTCGACGTCCACCAGCCCCCTGTGGTTTTTCTTTGCTGCTCCTTCCGCTGTTCACGTGGTCTTGAATGTAATTTAACCACTGGCTGTTGTGGCCAAACCCCTACTGGAGCTCATCTCTGCTGTATTGTCTGCACACGTGCAGCTCGCTGCAGGGTTCTGTCTTTAATGCGTGAAGTGCATTAAACGACTGAGACTGGAGAGTATCATGGACCTGTAGTTTCTTTGGATTTGAATTGTTTATTTTTTATTTTTTTTTATGTTTACAACGAGGTGGAGCCACATCTGCATGCAGCTGTGAAGGTGCGAGTTAGGCATGGTAAAGAAAGTGTTTTTCTTTGTGCTGAAATGCAGCCAGAAAGTATTTTGCGTAAAATAAATGTATTTTTCTTTTCTTTAAATGTGACCTTTGTAGTGATTTAAGAAAAGATAGGTGAATAGAGCTTTTACACCTGGGCTGGGTATTAAAACGGCGGAAAAAAAGATGAATCACTTTGTTAGAATTTGATAAAAAGAAATAAAAATAAAATCCTAAATTAAATGTAGCTGTATTTATACATGTCCGGTGCCATTTTTCAGATCAATGTTTTTTATACATGTTAAAATAAACTGTAAACTTGTACATTTTGTAAATAATTTAACACTGATCAGCCACAACATTAAACCCACCTGGCTCACATCATGTTGATGTCCCTCAAAACCTGACTGATTACTGAGTATTGTGTGTCCTGAAGTGTCCCAACACCTGGCCATGGAGCTGTTCACTACTCTAGGACAGGGGTGTCCAAATGTTTGAGACGAGGGCTGAAATCAAGTCCAATGTTCCCCTGGGGGGTGTTACAGAAATTTGCTGAAAAATGACTCAAATTGGCACAAATTTGAACATAAAAATGTCAAATTTGCTGAAATGACGAAATTCCACCATTCTTGAAATTAAACAGGGAACCACACAAAACTAACCCCAGGGCCACAGATGGCCCCGGGCTGTACCACTCTGGGACTTGAAGCATCTTCACATGTAAACAAAATAATTTTTAGACAGTCTAGTGGATTTTGTTTGCTCAGCCAACATTTAGCATGCTTACAACTAAACTTCAGACATCAGCATGAACAATATTTCTATTTTAACTTCTATTCTCAGTTTTTAACTTGTGAAATATATGTATATAAAAAAAGGGGGGGGGGGGGGGATTGCTTGCCTACAGCGTCCCATTAGTGAAGTAGATGTAATGAGGTCAAACACAGGTCTGTTTAATTACACAATAACAATGTGTGGAAAAACGTAGCTTTTGAGAACTTGACTGCATTTCTCCTGGGCTGCAGACGCAGTAAGTGTTCTGATTGCACTGTTAAACTGATTAAAATAAAATAAAAACCTTTATTCTTACTGTTACCAACCACTGAGCAAACATACTGCACATGTCATGAATAAAGCTGCTGTAATGTTTTGGACTGCTGATCAACTGCAATACCACAGACAGCCACTAGGTGCTGATTCTAAACATCTCAGGCTTTAATACCTTTTTAAAAAATCCTGAAAAAAAAGTATAGAAAATAGATATTTTTCTAAACCTGTTTATGCAATTATATAATAAGGACCAACATTCTAACGTTATTTAGGTAAATGTGGTTATTTTCGTCCTGGGACCCTCTAATGAGGCCACTGGTTTATCCTGCACCAGAATTTAAACTAGCTGTCCGTATTTTTGGGAGACTTGCTCTTGAAGGCACCTGATTATAAAGCCTACTAACTGTGTTTAGGGGAAAGTAAAAAATGAAACATCAAACTAAACCTCGGGTCTCAGGAGGAACGTTATGTTCCAGTTGAACTTCAAATTGGCAGCAAAACATCCCTAAATCCATGTACTCCTTTGCATGAAAAATGCTTTGGTGTGCAACAACCTGGAAAAGAACACCACTTGGGCCAATTTGTTGCAAAATGAAAAATAAAATACATTTAAAATAATATAAAAACTAAATGTTGGTAAAAATCTGCTGACAGTTCTCTCTTTCTCACCCTGCCTTGACCTGCTGATTAAGGATTTTTATTCTAAGGAGATTAATTTCTAAGATTTAATGTTGTGTTGATCAGTGTTTGAGATTATGTCATCAAAACTAATTCAGTGAATTACCTTGAGTCTAAAGGAATTTCATCACATTGATGCTCAATTTTTTTTAACTTAAAACCATGAAAGCACTTCCCTGATGAGATGATACAGGATTGATGTCAGTAAGTGCTGCTGATCAGTGCTTAGAGATGTTTTGTACTCATTGTTATCACAATAAAGAGAATCAGGTTTAATACCCAGCCCCGGGAGAGGGACAGCTCTAGTATAGCGTTTCACCGCAAAGATCGAGGCTGAAGAAAACACTTTAAAGGAAATTGGAGGATTCTTCTTAAGTCCTGTAGGTTTTTACATCTCAGTAGAGATAAATCACCCCAAGCACATGCTTGTGATTGTGAGAAGGTGCACAAAGCCCTGAACATCTTGTCCAGCTTGCCTCTGATTACCTTCTGGTACACAGAGCATGCAAATCAGGATCAGGGCTCCGTCCTCAACTGTCTGTGTCGTGCTGCGAGTCACTGTCATCAAAATTAAAGTAGGAGGCGACGGTGCTTTAAGTTTGTATTTTCTTCAAAGTGGTTTATGAGAACATTAATGCATGCTTGTGGACCACATCCACCTGCAGAGTAGCTTTCAGTAATCACCTGAAGGTGCTCGATTAAGTGTGGCGCCTTTACGTTTTATTGTGCCAAACTCTTTAATTTGGCTTAATACGTGTTGGTGGTGAAGTAGTGAGGTGATGTTTAAAGACAGTGGTTCTAAAATGTTCCTCTCCTTTTATCTGTAGTATCTTGTTTTGGTTAAATAAGGCAGGAATTTCCATAACAATCCCGCCTCAGAAGGAATGTTATAGTTTTCCTCTCTGCAGGTCTGTGGGGGTGAAAATCCTGTTTTACTCCCAGCAGCCTTTGGGTGATCATGGTTTAAAGTTTCTCTGTAAATGCTCTTTTCTTTTACTGATATTTAAAGCTGTTTTCCGGAGTTTTCCTCTTTCAGAAATTGTCTATGATTTGTCAGAAAGCTGTAAAAGTGATGTAATGTAAGCAATATGTCTTTTTTATTATTTTTATTTTTTTGCTAAGCACGCCCCCTGCCCCACAGATCTCCGTGCAATAGCAAACGGAGCAACGACCAGAACTAACCAATAGCGTTAGACTGCCGCTTAGACCCTTCAAATTTAAGGTAAACCTCAGCTGATGCAGAGCTGATGAACTTTTCACGGAAAAGAAAGTCTCTAAAATATAAATATATGAGAACACAGCATGACATGAGAATAACATTTGTAAAACAACATGTTTTAGCTCTGTTTGTCAGCTACAGAAGCACATTTATAAAACAGAGACGTGAAGTCGCCATCTTAAACAGAGGAACAGTGTTTTTGTGTGATACGCTTGTCAGCCACTAGATGGTGCCATTGAATAAGAGAAATACTCCGGAAGGAAGCTTTAAATGGGCCATTTGTTTGGTTTCAGCCCTTATGTCCTTTTTACATTGTAAATAAAGTTAATCTACATTCCAATTTGTTTCAAATGATTTAACGTTTGTGTACCACAAAGGAAGTTTGCTCACCTGTTTGTTCATCAGTATGTAGATGAGAGGGTTAATGACTGTGCTGCTTTTGGCTAAAAGTGATGGAACCACGCTGGCCACAGGACTAATGGTGTTGGGCGGGCCGAATGTCGCCATCATAGCTACAACGCCGTAAGGCATCCAGCAGAGCAGGTAGCAGGCCGCTGTGGTCAGAACCATGAACAGGATGTGGTATTCTCTCCTCCTGGCTGCTGTTTTTCGGATCTTCCCCACCTGTAAGAAAATCAGATGGAAATCCACAGTTACAATTCTTAATTCTGGTTGACATCTTCCAGCCAAATCACAAATCTCTATTTTGTTTAAAAGTTTTTTCAGCACATTTTTATCTCCACAAATAGCACAAGCTTGAAAGATTTCTGTCATGTTGAGGAGTTGCTAACGCTAACAGTTAGCTTCTATTAGCTGAAACATGATCTGCTCTCTCCTGGACACTACATCATCAACAGCCTTCTACATTGCCAGTCAGGATGGATGAGTCCATAAATGCTAATTAACAGTGTGACGTTGATCTGAGTAACATTTTTAATCCTAGCGTTTCTGTCTATTGGCGGCTCATACAGGAAATAGGGGTAGAAGGCTATTCTCATATTCAGCATGCTTCTAAATCTCAGTGACCACAGCTTTTCAGAGAACTTGCTCTTCGCCAATTTTTGTCTCCAACTAGAAGATGGTTAATATCTGAGTCCTTATAAACAAGACTGTATGTAAACTACGGCTTACTAGGGATGTTTATTGGCAACAATCTGGTGATACAATATATATCACAATACACGGGAGACGCTACTGTGATACTAAAAGCCAGACACTATTTAGAGTTTTTAAAGGCACAGTATGTAAGAATATAGTGAGAATTTTACAGTGAAAAAATCCCAGAAGAGTCAGAAGAGTCTAATGTTTCAGTCATTTTGGTAGGAAGGTTATACTGAAACATATATCCATCTGGCTGCGGGGATTGTCGGGTGTTCTCCTTTAAAAACAAAGGAAGGAGGGACGTAGCTACTGTTCACCATCAGTGATGTGGGGTTGCCGTGTCTCCTGTGAGCTAAAACTGTAGCACCAACAATTTAAAAAAGCTCCAGAGTTGTTTAAAGTAGTTGCAGCAATCAATTTTTACCACAGGATGTCATTTTTACTTTATTTCTACATAAATCACCTTAAAGACTGAATTAATTTGGGGAAACTTAGGCCAGACCCTTCCAAGGCCCAATCCCAAATACTTGCATTTCTACCCTCGTGCCCTTCAATCACGCATTCCAATCCAGGGTTGCAAGAGCGTAGGCTGTCCTGATGCTCAAGTGTGGAAGTTGATCACGCTGCTTTTGCACCCTTGATCAGCACCTTTGATGATGCAACGGTCGCTTTCCCAAACCATCAGTTATTTACACACTTTTTACTACACACTCAAAGCCTTACTGCGCACTTCCTCCAAGTGCACTTTGCTGAAGACCGTAGTGCGAGTATTGGGATTGGGACCGAGACATATCCAGTGTTATCACAAGATCTTGTTGTTCTGTTAGATGGAAGGCGGTAAAAACTGCTGCCAACTAGTAATCAAAGTTTGAACTGCACAACACAAACTAAAAATAGTAAATGTTTAAATAGAAATTCTCAAAAATTCACTGATTTCAATTCAGTATCATGATACAAAATATTGTGATTTTTCAGTGTATCGATATTTTCTCATATCCGAATAATCACAGAGCTAGAGATTATTGTTTAACCAATGCTTGGATTAGCCATTTGTCAACAATTTCTCCACATTGTGGTCAATGACAGAGCTTCATGCAACTTTAAATTGTTACAAATATTTTCACAAAAGTCATCAAAAGATCTAAAAAAATAAAGCACCTTAAACCACTTAAAATTATTCCAAATGAAACTCTTCGAAAGGCTTCGTCTTCAGCTCTCCTTTAATCTCATCCAATTATCTGTCATCAGGATGAATAAGGTGAGGTTGTGTGATTTTCTCCCCTCACTCAGATCATCAGGCACCATATGTAATCCTGTATTTTGTCACAGACTCATTTCAGGCTCCCAGACATTATAAAATAAAGATCAGGAGTTCATTTGGACCTGAGCTCGTAGATTGAACTAATTCAAGAACAAAAGGCAACCTCAGACAGCTGCTGCCTGGACCATAAGGTGAGAGGTAATATATGCATCTGTCTTCCTTTCTTTCAGACACCAAATAGAAAAATTATTACTTCTGTGATCATTTGTTTTGAGCCAAAAGGAGCTTATGTTGCACACATGAAACTGTAGTTTCCATAATGATTCAATTTCACATGACATTGAAACAAGTGAAGTAAAAAAAAAAGTCATTGAAGCCAAAGTATTAAATCATCTTACACACTCAGAAATTTAAGTACAGAATTGTACCTTTAGGGGTTCAATAGCTTGTCGCCGTAGTACCCTCAAAGGTACCATTTGGTACCTTTCACAATACAAATCAGTACCCTTATAGATTGTATCTTTTTACACACCAAACCTGTACTTCAGGGAACAAATTTGTGCTAACCACTGCATCACTCTGTGTGTGTGTGTGTGTGTGTGTGTGTGTGTGTGTGTGTGTGTGTGTGTGTGTGTGTGTGTTTATTTCAAGATCAAAAATATCATATCCAAATGAAAAAAAATACTTGCTACATTTATTGAGTTTTCAAATACAGTGCAGCCCAGTTACAAACTGTTATCAATAATACGTGTGAAAAGCTATTAAATCCTATTAGAATAATGCTTGTTATCCCAATATTTATGCTTTATGTTTATGTTTATGTATTTAGCAGACACTTTTGTCCAAAGCGACTTACAAGTGCTTTAGGGATGTGTATTGGTGAAATCTGGCCATACGTATCACGATACGGGGAGATGATACGATATGTAACGATATATTGCGATATATTCAGCCACACGACATTAGCAATTTTTTGGACTAATTTATTACGTAATAAATAACATGTTTAACATGCGGTATCAGAACCATAATAGAGGGATTTACATTTCATTGGTGGAAACAAAACATGTTGCTCACTGCTGCCAACTAGTGGTCGACGATTGAATTACATACACAAAAAAAGAAAATATACAAATGTTTGCATGTAAATTCTTCTAAAAATGCGATACACAGCTTTCGAATATCGATATAATATCACAGGGGAAAAATCACAATATATTGTCATATTGATATTTTCTCATATCCCTAATGCTTTCAAAAATAATGAATTAGTTAATAAATATTTAAAATTTATAATTTTTTATCCAACAAATTATTTTACAATGATCTTTTTGTTTTTACAAAAACTGTGAAACTATTAAATTTATTTGCAGAAGCTTTGCTAATGGGTGGTTTTAGTGAAAGAGATCATAACCTGAAATGTTGATGTAACCCAGAAGCTAGAACCTTAATGAGGTATTAACTAATTGGCTTACTAATATGATCCATCCTCAATTTAGATAAAATATAAAATATAAATTAAGGAAATTAACAATACTAATTAATAGATATCTAATTAACTAATAGATAATTTCATAATGAATTATTGGAAGGGTGAATAACTAAAATAACGAGTTTAATATTAAACATCGGTTAAAACAAGAATCTTGAACATCCCTAACAGAAACAGAAGAGGAAAGCTGTATACTATTGGTCCAGGTGGGAATCTGAAATTTCATTGGCTGAGAGAAATAAGTCCCGCCTCCGCGAAATAAAACCGTGCGACGCAGCTGAGCGAGAGGAGAGACAAACAGCTGTGCAGCACGCAGATACAGAAAGCAAAGACTGAGCGGTTAGAGAGAGAGAGAGAGAGAAAAAAAAACAACGGTCGAGGCCGTGAAGAACCCTGATTTGGGTGCCGCATAGATAGAGGGAGAGGCGGACTTGACTCCTTCTAATAAGAGCTAGGAACTTGGAACCAACGCGGTGAGTAAAGAAAAAAGAAGAGAAAAAGCTAACGATGCAACTTAAAAAAAAAAAGGAAACTTAAATAGCTTATCAAATTAATTCCATTCTTATAGATTTGTGTGGAGACGACAGAGTGAACCAATCCTCTGTAGGAGGGAACCGTTGGAGCGCGTTGGTGAGTGAATGAGATTAAATTCAGTAAATTATTAAATTCAAAAAGCTAATTACAGCAACCGAGGTGACAGCAGTGGGCTGCTAGACGTTAGATCCCAGGAGTTAACATCTCAAACTACCAGTTAACGGTGGTAGGGCATATAGGAGTTAACGGCTCAAACCGCCAGTTAACGGCGGTAGGGCATATGGGATTCCCAGGAGTTAACGGCTCAAACCGCCAGTTAACGGCGGTAGGGCATATGGGATTCCCAGGAGTTAACGGCTCAAACCGCCAGTTAACGGCGGTACGGCATATAGGATTCCCAGGAGTTAACGGCTCAAACCGCCAGTTAATGGTGGTACGGCCTAGATGTACAAGGTCCTCAGGGGCGTTATAGCTAACGCCATAGAATTAGCAATGCGTCCCTTAACCAAACATTTAATAATAAAAAAAAATAGATAAATAAAAATAAATAAAAGCTAACTGATTAGGGAGGAATTATTTTACAAAGGTGGACCAAAGGACCAGAATTTATATTTTGTTGAATTTTGTTATAGAACATTTTATTTATTTATTTATTTATTTATTTATTTATTTATTTATTTATTGTGTTACAGATATACAAGGTGTCACAATGCTGTATAGAAACACAACTAAATGTATCCTTGTTGTCATGAATGTATTTCTTGTTGAATAGTGTAGAGTAATAGAATCTAACTGAGCCTATTGAGCTGAACAATTGTTGTCATATGTAATTATATTTCCAGAGCTACTGAGAATTATTTTAATAGACAATCAAATTGATGTTATGTTAGTTGAACTGTGAACCCAAACATGATTGGCTATGCCAATAGAGTGAAGCATTTGTTAAGTCTGTAAGACTTTATGCTGTGATGTGACGAGAAGGGTCGATGCCAACTCGCTAACAGTCCTGTTGTTTACAGGCTGGGTTTTTTTTTTCCTTGGGTTTGATCCCGACTCCTATGATCACTCACTTGGAACGAGAACTGGATTTCTTCCTGACGAGGGAGATGGCGAGCCTTAACCACTGAACGAACCAGGACATCTCAAGTAACTGAAGAGCAGACTGCTCTCTTCTGTGAACAATCTCAACGGTGCGGTAGGAAAAAATCGCACCACCGGACTCTGACTTTCACCCCA